TTCAGGCGTGACCTGAAGATGGGGAAGGAGGAGGCGAGTCGAAGGGGTTGAGGGAGGGATTCTTAACGTTAAATGTGACTGCTCTCCCGTTCCCCTTTAAATCTGAGACAATGTGTATTAGGACACCGACTTGAAAGGTATTTCCTGCCAGCTCACAGTGACTATGCCTGTTACTAATGGAGACTCTAAGATAAGATTCGATTTAGATAGGGAGAATGAGGCATAAGAATATTTAATGGCACGATTAATGACTCAGCCTAGCCTGACTTGTGAGGTCTGATGCAAGTGGAGATTTAAACCAGCTGATGAAAACAAGAGCCAAGAAGTTATTAACTAACCGATAAAATTCAGCACTTTCCAACTTAGCTGCTCACTAGCTGCACAGCACTTTGATTTGATTAGAATAATAGCTGGCTCGTCAATCAGGGAAGGGAGACGTGTGTCTCAGTCTGGTAGTTAAATTGCGTCCCACCCACTCTCCGGCTCAAAGAGCCCAACTATGAGGCTGAGAATATTCTAACGTCATCGATGAAATACAACCTCTTTTGTTTCAGTGGTGGAACAGTGCCAGCGGAGTCTGGCCAAGGCTCCGGAAGTGACTTTGTACACTTGTTCTCTCACCTCCACGGTTTGTGATCTGGAATCCAGCCCTGTTTAGGTTGGATTCAGTTCACCAGCCATTCCATTTGTTGATGATTAACTTCTTTTCTGCATTTTTCTTTCAAAGTCATTTTCTCTCTTAGATTATCCCCTCTTCAGAAGGATTCTCGACTGTACAGTAAAGGGCAAAACCCTATCCCGATATCCAGTCACCCTCACTTTATACAAGAGGGTTCTGGTATGGGAATCATAAGTTAGCGTGATGTACCCATCAGAAAGAGACCCTCCTCAAACACACACACACACTTGCAATATCTCGGATTAGTATTCCTGGGGTGGGGTTAGGAGGGTGATAGGAGGGGGACTGAAGGTATGGTCAAAGAGGAGGGTCTTGAGATGGGCCTTGAAGGAGGCAAGAGAGGGGGCGAACTAGAGTGGTGTCAACTACAAGTACATCTTGACCCTGAGGGTTTAAAGTCTTGGAATGAGTTCAATGACCCAGCCACAGGAAAGAGCGTGTTGTGCCAGTCAGTGTTATTGACCTGCATGAGATTCTCAAAGCATGAGGCGAGCACAACGGAAGCTCAGTGGGGTGGGTATGACAAGTATGCATGCCATTCATTCTCCTCCCATTACAGTCTAGGCCTCCTGACTTGAAAGGCACAATATAAATAAATTTGTCTTACATTTTGTAGTCGAGCTAAGAGATGAGAAATAACTCACATGAGTTATTGTCAGTAGATTACAGTCACTATTTTGACTTTCTTCTCTCTTCAACTCTCTCCTCCAGTTTTTCTTCCCATTCCAACTCAAGTTCCTCATGGCCTTAGCCCCAAGACCATTTTTCCTTCACATTTAAGATGCTGCAGAATTTTGGGAGCAGTTGCTCTGGTTGAGCTCAGCTATGATAGGTCCAATGGGCTGTATCTTTACTATAACTCTCCACGATTCCCTCGCCTCACTGTCTTCTATAATCATAGCCGCACACTGTTAATATTGTTTTAACAGGAGTGTGATATTGATATCTTAAAGCTCAACGTGCTTGTTCTAGGTTAGTCAGATGTTTCAGGGCTTTGCACACTGAAAGATAACACAGTCTTCTGCAACTGCAAAATGCTTTTCTTATTTAGTCTGTTTCTTGGGAGTGGGTAGAAGGTTCATTAAGTTAATCCAAGACACGTAGTCCTTTGTGGCTCAGTTGGTGACGTGGTGAGATTGAGCGACATAGACTAGTAAGGACTCTGCCTTCCCTCTCTGCAAGTTTCAACTGACCTCTATATCCTATTGTGAGTCAGGAGAGGTGGAGTGCAGCAAGGGTGGGGCCAGGAGGGTGATAGAAAGTGTGGTCAAAGATGAAAATCCTCAGGGTTAAGATGTAATTCGTCCCTCCCTTGCCTTTAAGGCCCAACGTCTCAACTTGGTTCTCTCCCTCACAAAGCTCCCTAACATCCATTAACCCTCTCCCACCCTCACCTCCACTCCCATTAAGCTACACTCACTCCAAATACCTCTAAGGATCAACATTAAGATTCTTGATCTTGTCTTCAGATCTCTTCATGTTTCGCCCCACCCCACTACGCAGTCTTCTCAAGCTGCACATTCCAAGCCATACCCTCTACTCTTCCCACTCTGGTCTACTCTACCCTCCGTACTCCCCTTGCTCCACCGTCAATGGCTGAGTTTTTAGACACCTTGCACTTATTCTCTGAAACTCTCTTCCAAAACCACTTTACCTCACTATCCCTCCCTGTTTTCAGAAAAAACTCTCTCTTCAACCCTACCTTCGATCAACACCTTCAAACATTTTGTTTCAGTCCTCCATGTTGAGTGAGTTCATTAACATGAAAGGTGTTACATAAGTGCAAGTCGTTGCAGAGTGAGCAGATATCTCTTTACATGTAAGAGCCTTATCGTGTCAAAGGGTTTGAGTTTTACAAGTGATTACCGTAAAATGAGCTGAATTGTTTTCATGGACGGATGTGCCAGTCATTCTGCATTCAACAAAGTCCCAGAACAAGTCGTGCGATGTACAACTGATTTATCTTGAGAACTGTAGTGGAATGTACTCTGGGAGAAACTCACTCCTCTCCAGAGCCCTGGCTACAATCCACTCACTCAGCAAACAGACCAGCAAGGAAACTGCCCACTCATTTCCTTAGGACACTCAGTCCTCAATAAAGTGGGTGGAACATCATGGGACTTGATAACACACTCGGGAAACGATTTACAGAGTAGCATACAGTCTGTAGTGTGATAAAGCGTGATGACAGATCACCGCTGCCTATGAGCTGTGTGGACAATAGAGCAACAAGTGATCGAACCATCATACCTGCAAGATATTTTGCTATGTGGTTATTAATCACCAAACAGAGGATTAATAATAATAATCCTTGCATTTGATATAGCGCCTTAACACGTCATCGAGGCATCTCAAAGCTCTTCACAGAATATACTGTAAAGTGAATTGACTGTATATTTTGTGGGTGAAACACGGCAGCCAATTATACACAGCAGGGTCCCACAAATATGGGACAGTGCGGATTGAGTGACCAAATGATTACTTTTTTGGTGAAGGGATTATTATCTCGGAAAGCGATCCTCCAATCGACTAACAACCATGGTTCTACTTCCTGCTAGGTAAACAGAGGTGTGTGGAGTAAGGAAATTTGCTTAAGGTTTTGCCCTACCTGGGAACTGAACCCTTTTGCTTGCAAGGTGAGTGCGCTAACTACTACCCTCTAGGCCTGCACATTAACACCTCCACCTCCCTTCAAAGCCATTTTTGCACACTAAAGATGGGGAATCTGGTGTAAAAGGGATGACCCAGTTGTTTGAAACGTTCGATGGATCAACCAGATAAAAGAGCCACAGCGATCTGTACATTCTCTTTGCTTTCCCTACAGAAATTCAAACACAATTACACGTGAATAATCAAAATATCCTCAAGGACTAACTACTTCCTTTATAACGCTCTTGCATTGCAGTGTTTGGCTTGGGCACTGGGCCAAATCTAACACATGTCACTTCTGTAGCTTTGGAGGGCCGACCAATGGTGATGGATTATACCAACCCTGTCTCCTCACAGTGACTGTGCACCTCCACATCTTAAGGGTTAAGACCTGAAACCAGTCAACAGCGATCAATTCAAAATTACGCCATTTTTCGCACTTACGTGTTTGTTCAATAAGTCTTAGTGCAGGCAAGCATGGGCTCTGTATTATCCTGTCCGTACACCATGCCCAAGGCAAACAAGTGATAAGTGGTGGGCCATTAAGCGAAGCTTAACCTGAAGACGAGCCTAGTAACTTGTGTGATTATTTACTGTGTGTGTGTGCTGAGCTTATCAGAGGTCTTGGTTATCTCTCCTTGCCAAATCCATGTTGCTTATCCCATTTGGGTCCGTCAGTACACATGTTTCTGTCTTACTGTTTGTACACACATTTCCCCCCAACCCATCTTCCAACTTCCAATGGTGAGACAGAAGCCCATCCCACTGAGCAGGCAGCCCTGGCCCATATCCATCTATCCATTGGGAATCCAAGGGAATTCCAATAGAGATGGTATCACGCTGTGCCAAACAACCAATTTCGTTGGCCAGGATGCTGGGAAAAACTCCCTTTTTTCAAATCGTGCTGTGGGATCTTTTACATCCGCCTGAATTGGCAGATGGGGCTTCGGTTTAACGTCTCATCCAAAAGAGAATCCTGCATCCCCCAGAACACTCTGAGACATCTCAATGAGGTGATAAGGTGATAATCGAATGCAAGGATTTTGATTATGTTATTTGTAATTGCCTGGAGTCTCAGTCTATGACTATGACAGTCGACGTTTGTACAGCCAAACAGTTTTAGTTGGTTAAACTCCAGCTCATACCTCTGATAAGAGATGGGCTCTGGGTTTGTTAAACTTTGCGTTCGATATAGCGCCTTACTACGTCATCGAGATGTGTCAAAGTGCTTCACAGAATACACAGTGTAAGTGTAGTGGCTGTATTTTGTGGGCGAGACGCAGCAGCCAGTTGCGCACAGCAGCGTCCCACAAACAACCATGGAATGAGCGACCAATTTTCTTGGGGGGTTGGGGGGGATTGTTGACCATGACATTGGGGGGGGGGAGAGAGAGAAACTCACTTCTCTTTTCGAATAGCACCACGGGATCTTTTAACGTCCACCTGAACAGATGGGGTTTAATCCTCGTCCTGGGCACGGATTATTATTAATATTATTATGATCGAAGGTTATATAATAATTTACTTATTTGTCAAAATTTGCAATCTGGTGAGTTAATTCCTACAGACTTCCCCTTAACACACTCCCCACTTGTGAGGCCAATGGAAAGAAGTCAATTCTCTCTCTTATCTCACTCTCTCTCTCTCTCTTCCTCCCAGCAAAGCTGGAGTGGGCGAGGGGGAGTGTTCAGTGAGAGAGAGAGAGAGAGAGAGAGAGGGACGGACCAACACAGGATAAAACCTCATAAGCCTTCGCTGCCGACTATTAAACATCCCCCAATGAGTTGGCACCATCTCTTATTTCAGGGCGGTTGTGTGGCTATTTGACTCTCCGTGTCTTTGTCTGTTGGAGCAAAATTTTAGCACAAGACATACGAATGTGGATTTGAGCGAAGAGTGCAAAATGAATCAATTTGCCCAGACCCTGAGGACTGCTCTGCTGGTGTTGTGTTGGTTTCAGGTTAGTTTAAGAAGATACTATTATCATTATATTATTGTAATAAACACACACATAACTGCTAACTCCCAACTTGTAAGCTGTGTGTGTTTTGTCACCACACACCAGCAAATCTCCCTGTAACTAACCCCCTCACATCCCTCACTGTAATTAATTAACCAATATCTTTTGTGTGTGTGTATTTTTCTTTCGCTAGGTATCGACCACTGAAGCCCAGAAAAACTGCAGTGACCGTCCCAACGCATCTAGCGGGTAAGTTGCCAATAAAAAGAAAAATAGCCTTTACGCAAAGTCGAACCGATTCGCAAATTAATGACAATTTCGAACATCTTTTCTCGTTACATTTAGCGCCCACACACCCGGGCGATGTCTTTGCTGTGGTACAAATCTTTCTCTAAAGCGTTTACACTCCCCAACGCACACATGCGGTGTCTGTCTAGTTATTTCTTTTGGGGTTTTATTGATCGGTTTCATAATCATAAACCGATAGCTAGGATCTAGCACTGGATCGATTAAGGTTATTCATTGACCTGCTTCTTAGTTCTAATCTCCTTTACTCCACCTCTGCCGTCCAAGAATGAGGAGGGTGTGATTGAGAGTCTCTCCATCTTCCTTTTTGATTTTGTTCAATAAATATTTTTTTCTAAGCAAAGTTTTTTTTGTGTGTTTCAATTTGACAGCTGTCCTTCCACCTGGAGCAACCAGTGGTATGTGTGGTGAGTGTCATTTTATGTCTGCTTCAAAGTGTTCCGCGACACTGCTCCTGTGAAAGAGCGCGAGATAAACGCTAGTTAGAGCACTCGCCTCGCAAGCGAGAAGATTCCGGGTTCGATTCCCAGGTGGAGCGAAGCCTTAGGCAAGTTTCCTTACTTTACACGCCTCTGTTTAACTAGCAGTAACTAGAAACCTGGGTGTTAGTCGAGTGGTGGATCACTTTCCAGCGGTAATAATCCCTTGCAAAAAATAAAGAATAATAATAATTTATGGTGTGCAATTGGCTGCCGCGTTTCGCCCACAAAATACACTGTCAATTCACTTTACAATATATCCTGTCAAAGCGCTTCGAAACTTCTCAACAAAGTGATAAGGCGCTATATCAAATGCAAGGATTATTATTATTAATATTGGGAAGCAACAAGAACTACAAGTTACATTTACACAGAGCCTTCCATGTCAGGAGGACGTCCCAAAGCATTGAACAGTCAAGGGTGTGCTCCCGAGCTTGGGATAAAGAGGGGTGGAGGGCAGGGGTGGGAGGGGTGGATCCTGGGCCAATGTATGAATGCTCTTGTCGGAATAATCGGAGCTTACACTAAATAGTGGTTATTAATCCAGGGCTATTTCTTGCTGTGTGTCACAGGCTGATCTCGCTGACCATGTTCCTGCTGATGTTATGTGGTGTGACAGCCAGTTGTGTCAAGTGCTGTAGAAGGGCCAAGCCCCAGACGCCCACTTTCCCCGCTCGATCTTGCGAAGTGACTGTGATCGGCATCGAGAACGCGAACACCGACAGCAACGTGCCAGGTAAGGGTCGAGGCGCTCACTTTTTAATTCCCTCCCTTTTTACTCTCGTTTCTTTCCGATTCCATCTCCTGGATAAAGATAAGTGGAATTCCCGCAGAGTAGTGGTTATCGCGCTCACCTCGCAAACGAGAGGACCCGGGTTCAATTCCCGGGCGGTGCAAAACCTTAGGCAAGTTTCCTTACTTCCACACGTCTCTGTTTACCTGGCAGTAAGAGGGAACCAGGTTGTTAGTCGATTGGCAGATCGCTTTCTGGGGTTGATAATGCCCCCCCCACCACACCTAAAAAGAAATGGTCACTCAATCCACGACTATTTGTGGGACGCTGCTGTGCGCAATTAGCCTCTGCGTTTCACCCAGAAAATATACAGTCAATTCACTTTACAGTATTTTATGTGAAGTGCTTTGAGACGTCTCAACAATGTGATAAGGCACTACATCAAATGCAAGAATGATTATTATTATAAAGATAACTGTAGATTGTAATCTTAGAATCACGAACGTAAATTCCACGTATGTGAGGAGGGAATTAAAAAGAGGCTGTTGAGCAGAACAGCCGGTGAACTTAATTTAACACAGAACGGTTTTGTTCCTCCATAGCCAACATTTCTCTGCAATACCCTCCGGCCAGCGGCGAACAATTTTCTGTCCCGAACAACAGACTAGTCATGGCTCCTCCGCCCTACAGTCTGTACGCCATCGAAACCCCCCCATCGTACGACGAGGCCCTGAAAATGGCGATACCCTTGGACATCTTCCACCCGCTGCCGAAGCCTGGTGATAGGGAAAACAATGAGGAGACCAACTCAATACAGGAGACTATAGAGGAGCCCTTGCCTTCGTCCTCCTAGTCGATGAGGCATGTTTCTAAGACTTTGTTCCCAACTTTGGTATGAGTTGTTGCCAACCCAACTGAAGTCAAGAGGACCTCAATGTGCCTTCCTCGGTTGTAGGAGAGGACTAATTTACCAATGATCTTGTCAGTCAGTCGTTGGTGCATTGGGAAGAGTTCCCAGCACATTCCCAGCACATTGCTGGAGCTACAAATCCATTACTAAGTAATGAAATGTGAACTGTCCGATCAGGAGGTTTTATCACTGACAGCTGTGCCAAGTGTTCAAACTCAGCTAAAGCAGCATTGATGCAGTCGGGCTATGTCGAAAAAGGAAATGTTTTGATGTCTCTGTCACATAGTTGCAATTCGTGTGTGTGTGTGTGTGTGCGTATTTGTGCGTATGCTTTGGGACGTCCTCCCGATGTGAAAGGCGCTATACAAATGTAATTTGTTGTGTGTGTGTGTGTGTGTGTTTGTGTGAGACAGTGGCTTCAGGACCCATTTTTAAGACGTTTTATTCTATTCCAAATCATTGACTGTCCAGTGCCTTGGCACATCCTCCTGATGTGAAAGGCGCTGTGTAAATGTGATGTTGTATTATGTTGTATGAGCTACCCATGACTGTAGCCACAATGTTCAAGAAGTTAATGGCAATCAGCCATCACTATTCATTGAGCCTGCTGTGTGACTGAACCCTAACCGTCTGATTAGGAAGGACTCCTTCATGCTGGGTGATGGGTTGAGCAAATTTCAGGCTGTGTTTAAGAATTCGCCAACTTCAGGACTTTCCGAAATGTGTTTCCCTGGTGGAATTTTGCTCTCCATCTTTCTTCTGGAGTTTGCAGCGGGTTAGGTGAAATTCTGTGTAACAAGTCTCCTTGTTATCAGTGGAGCAAAGCAAATAGATTTGCATAGTGCCCATAAACGTCACAATGTTCGCTTTATTATCGGCAACGTTCACACTGGCTCCTTGATTCCTATTTAAAAGAGGAACTTGCATTTATTTTCACAGGGTCTGATCGACTCAGTATCTCAGAGCCCTTTTACAGTGATTTGCTGCCATAAGTAATTACCGTGTTGAGGGCAAATGTCTCCCATTCACTCACAGCAAGATTCCAATTGCTCTGACAGTTTGTTGCGGTTAAAGCACCAGGAGATACTCCAATCTCTCTTCCGACAACGCCATGGGAATTTTACCACCCACCTTCACCTCAACAGGCAGATCCCAGGGGTTCACGGTTTGTCCTTCATCCAAAGGAAGGAATCTCTGACAATCCAGTGGTTCCTTCCCCCTCTCTTCCCCCCCCAACCCCTTCCCGTCTCCATCCCCCCCCCCACCGCCGCCCTGGAGCATCAGCCTGGACTGTGAGCTCTAAGTCCCTGATGTGGACCCACGACCGTCTGACCCAGAAATCGTACACATCGTACGATTTCTCACTTCTGAGGAATAAAATGCACCACAGGATTTTTGGCCACTCAGCAGAAAGTGTTGATACCTTTTGTTTACACGAATGTGGAGATATCGCAATCAAACGATTTCTTTTTGCACACACCTACCTGTTTATGGATTTAATGAATTCCGACGACGTGTAAAGTTGTCCTTTTTTTTAAAAAAAGAAAAAAAATGAAGTATTTATGGTTTAAGGCCCAGAGAGTTTTGATTGTATAACGAGAATAAATGTGCACTGAAATTATATCGATAATTCTCGTTTTGTTCTATAACGCCCGGGAGTATATTTTTTCACGGTTATGAATGATAATAATAATCCTTTCGAACCCTGTGGTGCATATTAAGACAGTGTTTCATAGCAATTCACAGTTAACCGCTGTTAACCAATGTGAAAGTCGCTATACAAATGTAATCTTGTTGTTGTCAAGTGTAAGGATTGTAGTTTTGAAGGCAAATACACACACAAGACTGTTTGTGAGACATTGCTGTGCGCAATTGGCTGCTGCATTTCACCCACAAAATACAGTCAATCCACTTTATTGTCTATTTATTAAAATGATTTATTGATTCAATATTTTCAGGCTGAAAAGCACAGTGTCGATCCATTCAGGAGCTGTGTACTTTTGAGCCCAGTGTTCTTGTGGACGGGCTGTGTGTAAACATTGTTCTGCTGGGCAGGGGGCTGTGACCCAGGGGTGGGGACGGAGGTGGTTGTTGAGGTGGAAGGAACCCTGGCTTCAGGGTGATGTTCACTGGATCAGCTTGAAGGACTCACCAGTCATCATGGCCACAAACTCTGGAGAAGAAAAGTCAACGAGATCTCAGTTTTTGCCACAATTGGAATGACTTTGTCATTTCTCCAGCGCTCTCCTCACTGCTCTCCCCGGCTCCTACCTTCACAAGCTCTAAACATCTGCCATCCATAGTCTCTCCTGCACTTGACTCCAACTCCAGTTACTCCCACCCAGACTCCACCGACTCCCAATATCCCAGTCCATCCTTCAAGATCTTTGTGCTCATCTTCAATTTGCTTCACAGTCTCCCCCCACCACCCGCTTTGCTATCTCTTTCAATCCTCCCACCTACATTCTTTCTTCTCTCTCCCAATTATTGTCTCTTGCCAGTCCCTCGCTCCCTCTGTCCCACCATTGGTGGCCAAGCCTTCAGCCATAAAGCTCCCAATGGAATCCTCTTCCAAATCCTCCCCTCTTGTCCACGTCCTATTAACCCTCTGCCAGAATGCAATTCTTCCAAACCTCCCACTTATCCTTTCCAGTCGCAATCGCCCACCTCGCCTGGTGAAGTGAGTCAAGCAGTGGACAGTCACTACACCTCCGTCACAGTGTGCTTTACCTTCATAGTCAATGGTTCCATCGCCATCCTTGTCAGCTTCTTTCATCATTTGCTCGGCCTCTTCCTCGTTGAGGGGCTCCCCTACGCTCATAAGGACGTATCTGACACCCAAACACAAGTAAGCGTGAGGTTACTGCTAAAAGCCAACTGGTCACTTTATTTAATTACAACGGACAAATCAGTTATTTATGAGTGTAGATATGAAGTTGCTCATTGGGTCAGTAACGGGAATATCAGTTACAGGGGTGTAAGATACAATATGGGTTATGATAATTACCACATTCTTGCATCGCACTTTTACCCCATAGTTGCACGATACATGAAAATGAGGAAATAATAATAATAATAATCCCTGTATTTGATATAGCATTTTATAATATCTTCGAGACATCTCAAGACATTTCACAGAATATACTGTAAAGTGAATTTTGACTTTTTTGGTGATACACAGGTTTCTAATACACAGGTATTAGATACACAGATAGTAATAATAATAATAGATACATAGATATTAAGGGAAATGGAAAATAGACGAGGAAATGGGATTAAAAGGTGTGCGGTGATAAACAGGCTCGATGGGCTCAAATGCCTCCTCCTGTTCCTATGATAAACTAGTTTGCTTTAATAGTTTAATTGCCAAAGTTAAACTCTTTACTGAGATGATGAGTTAGTTTTGAAGTCTGATGGACCAGAGCAAAGTTAGATCATAAGTAAAATGTTCAGTAAATGTATTCAAGCTTATTAGTGTTGCCTTTATACCATAGGAGTGAGTTCAGGTGATGGATAAATAAATAACAATGATAAGCCTTAAGTTTGATACAGCGCCTTATCACTGTCAACGTCTCAAGTCCTTGCAGGTTTGACTGTGAAGCGTGGTATAGCGTAGTGACTGGGTCTTTGTAAAAGCGGGTAGGGTTTGGAGGGAAACTTCCCCACATCTCTGTGGCACTGATTAAGGGACAACTCTGCAGAAGAGTAACAGGGAGAGACGTACAGCAGCTGTCAGTGAGGTTTACGCGGATCACAAGTGTCGGGTAGAAAAGATCATTGAAGGAGGCTGGATTTGAGGAGTAAGGGCGCTCTCTGCTGGCCGTGACCTGAATATCAATCTTATTCTGTCACGTCAATCTATCCGTAACAGGTCTCTGAACAAGTCCGACTGAGCTACATTTCCCGACCCTTTTGTAAGGGATGCAATGGACAGTTTGGGTCACCACATGTGCATGCGACCACCAGGATGGTGGAAGGCGAACTGGATGTGCCTTTGGTCTTCTTTTGCCGAGCAAATTCCCATCGTAGGATAGAATCACAGACGATCAGAGTGCAGAAGGAGGCCATTCGGCCCATTGCGCCTGTTCCATTTCTTTGTAATGTTCTTATAGGTGTCGGGAACAGCACAGCGACTTACTTTAGAGTGTTCCATTCGATGTAACCCTTTGATTCTTGATCAAACACCTTGAACGCCTCCCTCAGCTCAGCATCCTGGTTCTTGGACTTTTCGTGATATTCTCCCATCAGCACAATGAAGCTGTCGCAGTTAAAGATGCCTTTACCTGTCAATCACACGGCAACACACAAAGCCATGAGCTGCTGTGCGCAGGAACAAGGATTTAACAATAATAATCCTTGACATTTGGTACAGCGCCTTATCACGTCTCAAAGCGCTTCACAGAATATTTGCTGTATGTTTTGTGGGCGAAAGCTCGGATTTCTCACCATCTTTGTCCACGTCTTGAGCCATCTTCGCCAGGTCCCGTTTGGTGGGATTGATGCCCAACAGACTCATCAGCCTGGCCAGTTCGCTTGTCTTCACCAAACCATTTCCTTCCTCGTCGAACATCTCAAACACTCCCTTGTACTCTGTGATCTGCTCGGGGGACAATGCCGTCGTCTTCAAGGAAGAGAAAGGAGCGTTAAAAATAAATTACTCTCTCCTCCAGCGCAATGCCGGAGGGACAGAGCGCTGCAGTGTTGGAGGTGCCGCCCTTCAAATAAGACGTTAAACCTGGGCTCCCGTCTGTGTCTGTGTCTGTTCTGGTGGACCTCAGAGAAAGGTCTCAGGTCAATCTTATCGACAAGGCGAGCTGCGGACTTGGAAGCAGTTCTGACCAGTGCCACTAGAGGGGGCACTTCCCTATGTTTGGTGCCCAATCTGGATGTTGGGTTGGAGAAGGAAGGAAGGCATTTGCTGAGATGTTCTTGGCTTCTTGACTCCCGTCTGTTATCAGCCACATACTATTCTTAGGGAACACCAGAGAGCAGACATGCCACCTGTTCTCTCAGTTAAAGGTATTCCCACCCCCACCCCACCCCACCCCACCCCACCGCACCATCGGCAGACTCAGCCTCTCTGCCCCCACCCTTTGGAACTCCATCCCACAGTCCCTTCGCCTCGCTCCCTCCTTTGCCACCTTCAAGGCCTGTCTCAAGACCCTCCTCTTCAACCGCGCCTTTGGTCACCCTCTTAACCCTATCCTCCCTGCCATCCAGCCCTCCTGATCCCAACCCCCTGCTCAAGTCCAAATCCCTTGGGACGTCCTCCTGACGTGAAAGGCGTTGTGTAAAAATGTAAGTTGTTGTTGTAAGTAAGTAATAATAATCCTTGCATTTAATAAAGCACCTTATCCCGTCTTCTAGACGTCTCAAAGCGCTTCACAGAATATACTGTAAAGTGGATTGATTGTATATTTTGTGGGCGAAACGCAGCAGCCAATTGCACACAGCTATGCCTCACAAACAGTCGTGCATTGAGTGACCAAATTACTATTGTGTATCTTTTTTTAGGGATTATTATCCACAGAAAAAATATCTGCCAATCGGCTGACAATGCGTTGCTACTTACTGCTTGGTAAACAGAGGCGTGTGGAGGTAAAGAAACTTGCCCAACCTTTCGCTGTGCCGGGAATCGAACCCAGGTCTCTTGCTTGTGAGGCGAGTGCTCTCTAACCACTGAGCTACAGGACTCCACGTAAGTAAGTCAGGAAAGAAAGCAAGCATTTTTATAGCACGTTTAAATTGAAACATATCAATGAGCTTCACAGTCATTTTTTGTAGGCACATGTGGCAGCCCAGCAAAGTCTCACACACAGCTCTGAGGTGATTAAATGATTTATAGAGGATTGTCAGCCCAGACACAGAGAACCTCCCTCCCATCTCATTTCCAATAACGTCATGGAATTGTTAATGAAAATCTTAAGAGGGTCTCTGTTTAACATCTCATCTGAAAGACGACACTTGAGACGTCCTCCCGACGTGAAAGGTGCTATACAAACGTAATTTGTTGTTGTTGAGAATGCAAGAGAATGGGTCTGTGCCTGTGAAAGGGTCAATTAAACTCACTGAATGTCAAACCCCTGAAGCTCTACGGCTCACAGCCTCGTGGCTTTATAACAGAAGATTACGATGTCGCACAATCATATGCCCGTCAAGTGTAGCGCATTGGGAATTTCAATTGCGATTCGCAAACACAATGTAAACGTGTGAATAGGTGTCAGCGTTCTACAATCTGTCACTTATGAAATACACAGTCGCTGTGCGCAAATTGGCTGCGGATTTCGCCTACAAAATACACAGTTATTACACTTTATGGTAAATATTGTACTTTACGGTAAAGCGCTGTGAGACCCGTCTCGACAACGTGATAAGGCTCAAATGCACGGATTATTATTACTGCATCTCCTTTCTCTCTCACTCTGTAATTTTCGTTTAAAAAGATCGCAGAAGACTATTTCTACACCTTGCAGTGCTTGACAATACTTGACTGGGGAGACAGGAGGCAGGTTAGTTAAACTCTTTTGGAAAAAGAACTTAAACATGTGAATGATTGATGGCGTCTTATAATAACGGTAAGATCTTTACCAAAAGGCTGAAGTCACAGCCCAATCTTTTTATTGTACACTTAGAATAATCCTTGCATTTAATATGACACCTTATCACATCGTTGAGACTCAAAGCACTTCACAAAATAAATTATAAAGTGAATTAAGTGTATTTTGTGGGCGAAACGCAGCAGCCAATTGCGCACAGCAGCGTCCCACAAACTGTCGTGGGTTGAGTGACCAAAGTGTATTTATTTCTTGGGTTTTGGAGGGATTTTTACCCCCGGAAAAGTGAACTGAGAGTCAACTGACAACCGGGTTCCTACTTACTGCTAGGTAAACGGAGTCGTGTGGAGTAAGGAAACTTGCCTAAGGTTTTGCCCCGGAGCCTCTCACTTGCTAGCGGCGATAACTGCTATGCTATGGGACTCCACTTTAGCCATTAAACCTCTTGATAAGGCAATTTCAGACCTCGTTAAGTAGTTACTCAATCCACGGCTGGTCGTGGGGACGTTGCTGTGCGCAATTGGCTGCCGGGTTTCGCCCACAAAACATACAGTCAATTCACTTTACAGCATATTCTGTGAAGCGCTTTAAAGACGTCTCGAAGACGTGATAAGGCGCTGTATCAAAAGCAAGGATTATTTATTCGTAGTTAGGGAAGGACAATGACTAGTTCCTCGTTCTACAAAGAATTCACACAAAGTAGCAAAACCGTCACGGCCACATTCAACAACAGCAACAGTTACTCGCATTTATTTGTTGTCCCAGAGTGAGTTCACTTACCATCCTGCCAGAGAGAGAGAGAGAGAGAGGACCAACCTTGCGTTGCCACTGATCGAGCCCTATCAGCAAAACACACACATCTTTTACATTATTGAGGAGGTTGAGTGTGTCAGTGCCCAATGGATTTGACCGTTACAGCTGCCTTTTATGGTTAGACAGACCCATTGGCTCCTATTTCTGGATGGCGCTGGATGTTGACTTTCTTTGCTGACCAGCGTAAAGTTTTGCAATGCTCTTTCCGGCGCCAGTTATCGGTTTCAAGTTAATTGTTACTGAACCACTCCTTTGGGGAATATTTTTCCTTGATCACGTTAAGAGAAAAACGTGCTTTTGGGTCAGCCGGATGTCTGACACAACACACGTGGAAACCCTGCCCTGTACTTAAGAGCATCCAAACCAAACAGAAGTTTCCACAAGCGTGAGACACCTCTGTAAAATACTCAGTCAATCCACTTTACAGTATATTTTGTGAAGCCCTCTGAGACGTCCCGAAGACGTGAAAAAATACGACCTCAAATGCAAGGACTATTATTATTTATCTGGGTTTTCTAACTGGAAGAACTGACAGAGATGGCATTTTAAAGTGCTTTACGGGTCGAAACACCTTAAAGAAAGAAGTCGCATTTTTACAGACATCCCGTCAAAACATCTCAAAGTCCGTTGGTCCATTCATTTACTGTCAGTTATCAGGATTGTGTGTTTTGTAGACAAACACACACAAAAATATTTCGCCCGTAAAATATACAGTGAATTCCCTAAACAGTGTATCCTGTAAGCGCTTTGAGACCTTTCTAAGATATGATAAGGCACTGAATCAAATGCAAGGATTGTTATTATTATAAACACGGCAAGAGTTTGTGCACGGCAAGCTCCCACGCATTAGTCATGAGATTTATTTACACGACAGCAGGAGAAACTCCTTTCTTTTCTCCAAGAGTTTCCTGGCATTTCTATTGTCAAACTGAACAGGCAAACGGGACTTATTGGTTTATTGTCTCATCCTCTGGTTCCCCTCAGCCACCCCCAACCCCAACTGCTTTCCACTGCCGTGTCAGCCCACACTGTGAGCCCAATTCCTTATCAAAGAGTGGTTTGCCTCTTGATGTGCTGGGGTTTAACTTCCAGTGACTGATGGCTTCCAAGGTGATGTTTGGATAAGACAGGAACTGAAGCCTGGGTTGTGTTAGCTGATCAAAGGCCAGACTATATTTAGCGACTTGGGAACCTTTAGAGAAGGTAAAATTAATAACCAGAGCATTTCTTTTGGTGCATTTGCATTGAAAGAAGAAGTGCTGATGTCTCTGTGCGTGTTCCCTCTTGTTCTCGCTTTGCTTTTCTCCTGACATCATTTGACTCCGGCGACTGTGGCGTTGTCTGTCTCATTGGCGTGTTCTAGTATCTCAATTGGCTGCCGCGTTTCGCCCACAAAATACACAGTCAATCCACTTTACAGCATGTCCCATGAAGCGCTTTGTGATGGCTCCATGACGTGATGATGTATTGCGAGGATTATTATTATTATTACTACCGTCTCGGCAAAAGACCAGTGTTGAGGTGTGAGCCGTGATAGTGGGTGCGGGTGGACAGGCTGTTCGACAAAGGGGTGATTACAACTAACCCCAGTCCTGCCCCAACCCCTCCATCCACACACGTCAACCTTTAAGCAGGAGCCTGTCTCATCAGAAGCGCAAACCACCAAGCTTTAGCCTGTGAGACCAATTGATGAGAAATTCCACCTGGGTTCAGGAGTCGTGTAGTGTAGTGGTTCGCAAGCGAGAGTATCCGGGTTCGGATCCCGGGCGGAGCGAAACCTTAGGCAAGTTTCCTTACTACACTCTGTTTACCTAGCAGTAAGTAGGAACCCAGTTGTTAGTCGATTGGTAGATTACTTTCCGGGGGGGAGGGGGGTAACAATTACTCCAAAAAAAAACACACGACTGTTTGTGGGACGCTGCTGTGTGCAAATGCAAGGACAGTTATATTATGTATTAGATTTACTCTTTTGCGTCGCACATTAGAGCGTCCAGAATTTGGCTAATTGTTGAGTTCAGTCTCGAGTTTGAAAACCGTTTGCGTTCAGCTCTTCAACGAAACCGGAAACCCGGCTTCGAAATGAAGGAATAAACCAGTCTGAGAAAAGGCTGAGCAATCCCGGATCAGGGAAAATAAATTCCCAAATTCCCCAGAGCGCGTCCGAGAATGGGGAATGCTTCCATGTTTGACCATTGCACTTTGGGTATTTCCCAAGTGACGGTTCCGGTTACGCTGATGATATTTCAGGGAGATTCGGTCAGTTCCCAGCACTGTCCTGTCAATCAGCAGCCACATCAGCTGCGGTCAGTGTCTCTCACTTCATGAACTCGGAACTCAACATGGTACAGTATGAGTCTGAGCGAATAGGTTTTCGTGTATCAAGGCCTCGATTTGAACAGCTTCTACAAGTTCAATTGTTAACCCGAAAATATAATAATAATATATAATATTCCTTGCATTTGATGTAGCGCCGTATCACCCGGTTGAGACGTCTCAACGCGCTTCACCGAATAGACTGTGTATTTTCTGGGCGAAACACGGCAGCCAATTGTGCACAGCGGTGCCCCACAAACAGTCATGGATTGAGTGACCCAAATTTTTTGAGGGATTATGACCTCCGGAAAGCGATCTGCCAATCGGCTAACAACCGGGTTCCTAGGTAAACAGAGGTGTGCGTGCGTGTGGAGTAAAGAAACTTGCCTAAGGTTTTGTCCCGCCCGGGAATCGAACCCGGGTCCTCTCGCCTCCGAGGCAAGCGCGCTAACCGCGACCCTACAGGACTCCGCCGAGGCCTCAGAAAACCTCCAAAGTGCCCCAAATTTCCAAGGAAGAGAGTCTCAGTTGAGGAGCGAATCTTACGCACCATGAGTGACATCTGTTCCATTGCAGAGAGATCTTTAGCTCGTTCCCAATTCCCATCAGTCAGTCAGTTAGCCAGTCGTCCGAACAGGTGTCTTCCGGGTCCCAGTGGAGCAGTTAGGGATCAGCGCACCAAATAAGGCCAACAATTAGACAGCACATTTATTTAAAATCATCTCCAGAGAATGTCTCCACATAGTGGAACTTGTCTAACCTCATTGGAGTCCCGTAGCGTAGCGGTTAGCGTGCTCGCCTCGCAAACAAGAGGGCCTGGGGTAATAATTGTGCTTAACTTCAATCAAAACCAAACCAGCAAAACAAAAGTGCGGTCACTCAGTCCATGACTGTTTGTGGGATGCTATTGGCTGCAGAGTTTCGCCCACAAAATACACAGTCACTCCACTTTACAATATATATCCTGTGAAGCGCTTTGAGACGCCTCAATGACGTGATAAGCCGCTACATCGAATGCAAAGATTATTAATGATTATTATTATTGGGACAAATGGTAAGTTAGCCTCCACAAACCTGATTGCAAAAAACTACATGAATGTTTTCGCACCGGTCGTTAAAAGCCGAGCAGACGGGAGTTAAAATAATAATAATAATCCTTGCATTTGATACAGCGTCTATCACTTCGTTGAGACGTCTCAAAGCGCTTCACAGGATACACTGTAAAGTGTAGTGACTGTGTATTTTGGGAGCTCAGTGAGTGTGAACTGCCCGATGATGTTCTTATGTCACCGGAAAAGAGAACAGTGGACAGTTTATTGAGGTCTCAGACTGGTTCACTGGAGGAACATATCTGCTAATTCCCATCTAACCTAATTCTGGATTACCCCGTGATTCTTTCTAAATACGTTCCGAATAACAACAGCCTTACAGGTTGCCGCTATCATTCACAGAGCTGGCGTTGACTGATATCCTGTGCTGATTGACCCCTGGAACACACCTTGGTTTAGTTTGGTGAGTCTGCTCAAAACGAGAAGCGAGTTTCTCCCTCAAACACTCCAGCCAACGATTCTCCAGATAAATTGGTCGTTCGCTTCCTCATGACTGTTTGCAGGAGTTTCCTTTGCAAATTGGCTGCTGCATTTGCCCACAAAATGCAGTCACTGCACTTTACGGTAGATTCCCGTCAAGCACTTTGAGACGTCCTCCCGAAGTGAAAGGTGATCAACAAGTGCAAGGATTATTATTATTTAACCTTCTCTTTGGTGTGAACTTTCCCAGAGACGGCTCGAAGATGTGATAAGGCATGTGATAAGATATCGAATGCAAGGATTATTATTATTATATTATTATTATTCTATCGTCTCTCCTCGTAACTCAGGTATGTAAATACCAGCAGTTCCCACCAAGCATCAAGTTTGGGAACGTCTAAAAGACGTGGAAGATTGTTGCCGTCCTCACACACACGATCATTTCCTTCCCATCTTGTTTTAGCCTTAATAGAACCAGTGGGTGTCTTCGGGTGGCTCAGTGGAGCTGCTGTGTGGTGTCTACGCCAAAAGATGGCGAAAGTAGACCTGTGAATTGACCACAAAGCAGAACTCAGGTATTTTTAGCACTTTATGACGTCAGAATGTCCCAAAGCGCTTCACCTTGATTAACGTCAAGTGTAGTGACTGTGTTTTTGGCTGTTTGTGCACGGTAGCACGTGGCCCTATTAATCCGGAGGATTGTTGGCCTAAGCGATGCAAAGGGGCTCAATTCCATTGAAGCTTGGCAACAGGACAAACACAGATCATAACATGGGGAATACAATGAGAAAAGGCCATTAGTCCATCAAGCATAATGGCTTTTGTGAGCCAGATGCAATTTCCTTTCCTGTTTCACAGGCTCCACAAAAACATACTCGCGAGAAGCTTCCCGAAAGTTTCCAACTGCCCCCGAAGGAAATCAACGATTCACGCTTATGCAGCAAAGCAGCTTTCACGTCAGGAGCACGTCTCCAATCAGGCAAAGCTCTAGCATGTATGTAGAAAGTGGCAGCTTGCACCGTCCCAAGTCTGAGCTCCCAGTCGAGGCATGTTAGTCTGGTCAGAAGGTTTGGCGACATCTGGTTAAGTGGTCAGTACAGTACAAACTTCCATCCAGTCCCCAACCAGCTAAACTAACTGTAATAATCCTTGCATTTGATATAGCGTCTTATCACGTGGTTGAGACGTCTCAAAGCGCTTCACGGAAAATACTGTAAAGTGAATTGACTGTTTATTTTGTGGGCGAAACTC